TGTAGCAACAAAAGTGAGGTTGACGCAGGACCAGACAGTGTAACATTCTGTTGTGCATAAGGTCATTATGACTTGGTGGCATCTAACAACAACAATAAATTGAATAACACATTTGAGTGTATTAAAAATTCTTTGTACCAAACATAATCTGACAGCATCATTGGCAGATGAATATTTTTCTCTTTGCAAAAGACTCTGTCTAAGCAACAGGTCCAAGAAGTTACTTATAATGTCTCTAGAATGAATGACTGGCTTTGTATAAACTTACACTGCAGAGGTGTTATGTAAGATATTGGACTTTATGGTAAGTTTCACATCTAGTGTTCATACGGTTATTAAGACAGATAGCTGGTGGCTTAATAACTGCCTTCCTGAGTCCCTGGACAATAAAATACAACTTGGAGCATGACATTGCCTTCTGTGGTTTCAAACTCTGAAGACCTCCCATCTCTATAACTGGGTCCACTTGACTATCATTCATAGCAAATCTCTATTCCAGTTTATGGGTAGTGCAACCATAGGTCTGTCCCAAGTTCACTTGCACAGTTCTTACTTCACATTTCTTTGTTTTTGTAAAATGTTTTTTTCCCATTAAATAGGAAGTGATGTTTTATGAGGAAGATCATAAGTACGTTCTTCTTTTATGAAGAACTCCAGGCTCAGGATGAAAGATGACCTTGGCTCCTAAGTCCTTTGTTCCTTCTAGCATTCACAGTGCCTCTATTTCTTCCATTGTATGTTGAATATACTTCTCTAAGGGCACTCATCATTAGAATTTTTATGACTATGGTGGAACTTTCTATATCATAAGCAGACCACCTACACTTATTGTTTCAAATATCGCCAAAACAAATCTGACACAGGTGCTACTATTATCCACATTTCCTAGCTGAGTAAACTGATACAGAAAGATTAACTTTCACCCAAGTAGCATGAGTAGAAAATGTCTTAGCCCCAGGTCCATCTCACCACAGAGTATCTCACTCAAGTGCTTCGAGGCATCTGCTTCTGCACGCCTCATCTGTCCACTGTCTAGTATACTCCAACTGTTTCATATGGAGACCCTGATTCTGACAACTTGTTTGAACTATGATGTGTTGTATTCTGTCTTATTTATCAGGCCTGTATTTGACTTTATCTTTTCCCACCTCTCGCTATGAGTTGGAATCAACACCATAGCACATAACCAACTAATGCCTATGAAGGAGTCCTGCCGTGGCACTGTGGGTTAATGCGCTGGACTGCAACGTCAGTTTGAACTACAAGGTTGGCAGTTCAAGCTCACCAGTTGCTCTTTGGAAACCCTATACAGGAACACTATGGGTAAGAACTGACTCGATGACACCTAACAACAACAATGACTATGAAGTATCATCTTTGAGTTTCTACTTCTTCCTTTTGCACTTTGCCAAGCCCAGCCCAGCTGCATGCTGAGACAGGGCAATGATTAATAGAAAATGTATTTGTGTATTTATATTTCATGTAGGTGGGAAACCCTCCTCATGAGCACAGGAGGGAAAAAACACAGTCAAGCTGGATGTGCCTTTGACTTAGGTTTTGCTTTGGCCACATACAATTGTATGCAGAAATCTATGGATTTTAGGACTTTACCTAAGGGAATAAACTATGGCTGGCATCATAAAGACTGGGGGCAAGGACAAGTGGTAAAGAAACGCCCACCACAGACAAAAATGTGAGATGGCCAATTTGTCTCTGGTCCATACATACTTCTTTTAAAGACCTATCTTCTGCCTTAAGGCTTTTTTTTTTTTTTTTCACCTTCAATCTTTAAGACTATTTTAAGAGAGAATGGAGTTCCTGTTTGGTGGTTATTTTTGCAAAGTTAGCATACAATCCATCAATGCTTAGAAGATAATCTTTTATTTACCTCATCTAGCCAAACACTCCTCATACTGACTTTAACATTTGCTCCCCTTTCTCTGCCATTTTTGTTTTGTTGGATGTTCTTTTTATTTATCTTGCTTTGCCATTTTTGTTGTCTTGGGATTCTTGTTTCAGTGAATTGATGTCTTTCACAAGGTTTGGGACTTTTCATAATTTATTCAAATATTATTTATCTCTCCTTTCTGAGACTCAAAGTAAATACGTGTTTTACCTTTTCTAAGTGTTAAGTGTCTTACCCTCTTCTGTATTTTTCATCCTCTTATTTATTGGTGACTTCTTCTGGATAGAGATTCTTCCAACCTATCTTCCAGTTCACTATGGTTCTCTTCAACTGTGTTTAATATATCTAAGTTTTCAATAGATACTTCAACTGAGGATTTCAATTAAGCTTTTGTCTTTATTGGTTCTAAAATTATTGATTGGGTCTTATTCATATTTGTAATGCCACTTTTTATTAGTTGGAAGTTCCTGTTAAAAGTTTCAAGTTTAAATCTGAAGTTTGACTTTTATCCACATAAGGTTGGCAATTATCATTGTTTTAACAATCTGTGCCTGGTAATTTCAGCATCTGATCTGGCATGTATTAGTGATTTTTGTTTTCATTGTTGGTTGTTTATGCAACTTATTCACATTATATTGTATCACATGTATCTAAATGTATTTGATTGTATGCTGGCTATTGAATATGAAAGATTATTGGTAGAAATAAGGTCTAGGATGATGTTTTCTCCCGTTAAATAAGATTTTATATTATCTTTGCCAGATTCCAAATGTCTGGATACATTAGCAATAAAAGATCCCCTCTCATGACTCCAGAATTTAAGATTTTTGTGGGGGAAAGATAGGTAACTGCTAACTGGGATGCATTCTCTTATTGCCTTTGCAGGATGTTTTACTTTCATTTACTGAGATATAGGAGAATTTAACAGAATTCCTACCCTATTCAAGCCTTTCACTTTCGCTCAATAGTCCTCTTTTCCCTGAGAGTTCACAAAAATGCTATCTCTGTGTATTGTTGTTGCTGTTAAGTGCTGTCGAGTTGGTTCCAACTCAAAGTGACTCTGTATAGGGTTTCTGAGGAGCAGTACGTGGATTTGAACTGCCAATCTTGCAGTTCAAACGAACCTTGCGGTCCAGTGCTTATCCTACAGTGCCACAGCAGGACTCTGTCTCTGTGGACTGGCAAATCTGATAACAAGATTAGTTAGTCCCCAATGCTATGATCACATCTCTCTCAGATTGGCTCTCGAAGTCCAGACTACCTTGTGTATCTTTTAAAAGCCATTCAAATATTTTTAGTTTTGTTCATTAGAAGAATTGAGTCAAGTTAACATTATGGAGAACATGACAGTTTGTACAATACTTTGTCTACTTAGACTCTGAAGATTCATTTAGAAGGTTAGCATACAGTCATAAATCAACTGACATTTTAAGTAGACTATGATCTAATCTCATGAAATAATATTTGAAATCACACCATTAGACAGACTTGAATATTCTGAAAAACTTTTGAGATTTCTTGAATCAAATTTGAAGAAACTAGCCAGTTTCAGTTTATGTAGGACACTGTTAAGAAATTAAAAGACCAATTAATCAAGATACTTGGCTTATATTTGGAGAAATATTTATAGATACAATGTTAAAGATGGAAAATGTTTTGTTAGAAAATCAGGTAACTAAACAATGTAAATTAAAGACAAAAAGAAAACTTCAAAATAAAGCAGATGGTGGGTTTGAACTGCCGACCTCATAGTTTGCAGTCCGGTGCTGATCCTCCACACTAAGCAACAAATATTAGTTTCAGGTGAAAACAGATGAGAGTAGCAGAAACTTTTTGTCATTTAACCAACTAATGAAAAAGCCCTAATGGTGTTGTGGTTAAACACTTGGCCACTAACCACAACACCGACAATTCAAACCCACTGAATGCTCTACACAGGAAAGACGTAACAGTATGTTTGTGTAAACATTACAGCCTTGCAAACAGTAGGGCACAATTCTACTCTGTTGTATCTTGTCACTTGATGTTTCGTTTTGGATAAACTTCGAGGTTGATTTGAACCAGTGTTGGAGGTTTAAACTCACCAGAGGCCTCTCCTTGAAAACCCTACACAAGGTCACTATGAAAGGAAGCCAACTCAATGGCACTTAACAACAACAATAGTCACATGTCTTATCCTTCACCCCCATCATGAAATGTATTCTGTTTTATCAGAACATCGATTTATCCAAGTAGCATATAGTGATATGCTGATCTCAACAAGGTAAAACCTGGAGAGACAGAAGCTAAATAAAACGTATCTAGGAGTCCTGGTGTGGCACTTTAGGATAAGTACTGAACTGTTAACCACAACATTCAAACCCACCAGCTGCTCCTCAGAAACTCTCTACAAGGTTGCTCTGAGTTGGAACTGATTTGAGGGCACTTAACAACAGCATGATAAACCTGTCACTTGGACAGATGTTTATTTTCCTAATTCTCCTTATAGTTCATCCAGAGCAATGATATGTGAGGCAGGAAGGGGCTTTTGTGAAAATATTCCCTTTCTCAGTAAAGGAAAAAAAACCCAGCAGAAACAACTGACATTATGTCTTCCTTCTCCCTTTCTCTAAATTTGGACTTACACAGGATGTTTAAAACTTTTACAGACTTTTCTTACAATAATATAACAAGCAAAAATGAAGATCCATCACACTAAGGATAGTAGAGCAGAAAATTAGCTGTAAGGATCTCTAGTAGCATACTGGTTACAAGTCAGGCTGCTAACTTCAAGGTCAACAGTTCAAAACTACCAGTGGTTCTGTGGCAGAAAGATGAGGCTTTCTGCTCCTGTAAAGATTTATAGCCTCAGAAACACTGTGCAGGATTGCTATGAGTTGGAACCAACTTGATAGTACTTAACAACAACAACAACTTTTTGGTAGATAAAAGTAAATGTCCTTATGGTTTAAGTTATCAAATGTCCTAATAGTTGAGTTTTCAATGACTTGACATTGAAAAGGTATATACCAATACATCCACTAAATGAGTTCCATATGGCAGTGCTTTGGCCCTAGTATGACTGGAGACAATGCTTGAAATTTCTGTCACTTACCATAACACAAGAATCCTGAGGTTCGAGGTCAAGGTCTGTGAAGTTCAAAAGAACACGGTGGTTTCTTTCAACCTGAATGACCCAGGAACATTCAGTGTTACTCCTGTAAGGATTAGGGTAATTTGGAGAATGAATCTCTCCACTGGGAATCTTGAAAATGCCACCACAACCTGTGAATGAGAAATACTGACTAAAAGACGATTCTCTGACATATAAAACTCTACACCATTACTGATTACCAGAGACCAATCTTTCATTGCTTAGCTACTAGTTTGATTGAGTTTATACTAGACATTTTAAAGAACTAAATATCCTGCACTGATTCATTTATACCAACAGAATAAAGGATGACATGAACAACACTAAGGAAATACTTCAAACACGGTAAATATTGATGCTAATGGTGATAAAAAAAATTTTATAATAAGTGAAAATGACATGTTTTCATAAAGCAAAGAGAACGTTTTCACTGTTCTCTAAAAATATAGCATACTATCAGAAAAAGACATCTTCCAAGAATATTTATAATCCACTGGTTTGTTATTATAAATAATTTAATATCTACTATATAAAAATATAATATTCAGTGGCTACCATTATTGGCCATTTTGAGCAAAGATTTCACAGAACCCTGAACTACAGAGAGAAGGGTAGAAATGTAGAGCAGGATTTCAAATTCTCATAGTTCTAGATATAACTGGAATCATGGAAGGAAGATAAACCCCTGAAAACTATTGTCCAGTGATCATCTTTAAACCTTAAACCAAAAATATCCTCTGAAGTCTTCTTAAACCAAACAGCAGTTCAGCTTAACTAGTGGAAAAAAAAAAAAGTTTACATTGAGCATTTATACTCTTTTAAGAATTATTTATATCAGATCAAATTGATAACAGCAACTCAAAAGATGAGCTGGAAACTCTAAGGGACATTGAGTTTATGTTAATGAGGGAGGAACAACTCAGAGAGGGTGAGAATGATTGTACAACTCAGAATGAAATCAACATCTTTAAATTGTACCCGCAGAAATTACTACATATATGGGTATATATTTTGCTGTGCATATCTCAACAAAATAAAATAAAATTCAAAGAAAAAAAAATATTCTGAACCAAGTATAGCTTTTTTTTTTTTAAACTTCTATGCTGTTATAAAGGAGCACCGGTAGTGTAGTGGTTACGAGTCGAACTGCTAACCTTAAGATTAGGAGTTCAAAACTATCAGCTATTCTGCAGGAAAAAGATGAGGCTTTCTGCTCCTGTAATGATTATAGCCTCGGAAATCCTATGCAGGATCACTATGAGTTGGAACCGACTCCACAGCACACCACCACTACCATGATGTTATAAAGTACCTATTGGTAGAATACCTATATCTGTGACCCAATATTTCTTGGTTTCATGATGGTATAGCTGCACAGTGGGTTTCTCTTATATATGGCCTTTCTGGCCTTGAGTTTGCAGTTTTCCCACAATGACTGGTCAGGGTGCACTCTTGAAAGTGATTGGTCTATGTACTAGCTACATAAGCAGCTTATGTGGTCCTGCTGGCAAGGCCAGGCCTTGAAATTGCATGCATAGAAGCCAATCTCATGGAGGTTTCTGGGGAAACTCATGACCATCAAAAGCCTGGACTGGAGAGCATCTCTTGAACCCTGAAATCCTGTGCTGAGACCCAGATAAAATAGCTATAATACATGTGGGTATAGATGGTGGGCTAATTGACTCATGGAGAAACAGAGACTTTGTGGGATAGTCAGTCCATGGGGAGAAGCTAGTCAGCTCTGGGCAGGGGTTGTTTGTAGAGGCTCAGAAGATCCTGTGCCGGGGTCTTTCTACACTAAGGCAGAGCCAGCGATGCTAGACCCAATAACAGAGTAGGGCATGGCGGGAGATACACAGATCTCTGGGGCATCTTGGACCCCAGGTAATATGGCAGGAGTCAGAAGCAGTGATGACATGAACACAGCATTTAACCTCAACTATGACATACCTGCTAAGTGATATAAGTATTTGGGGGAAGGGTAAACGGAGCACATTCTTGTTAGTCATAAACAGGTTCCTCTCTTACAAAGTGAGCTATGTATATGTGTGTTGGAGAGGGGTGTGTGTGAAGCCATCTGGCCATAGTAATCTGTTCCTTTACCATTCGCTTTCTACAATAGTAATAATGGCTTTCTTTTTGCTCACACTCTCTAAGTGTCTTGATGTGCGTGGCTCAATCTCACTGGATGAACGTAAGTAACACCAGTGTTGTTGCCACCACTGGATGAAGTCCTCTATCTGCTACCTGTTTTATTGCTGCTTAGAAGTCTGAGCTACATGTTCTGTGTGAGAAAGATGTAGCAATCTGCTTTCATAGATATTTAAAACCTTGGAAATCCTGTGCAGCAGTTCTACCCTGTTCTGTAGGGTCATTGAAGGTTGGAATTGACTCAAAAGTAATGTGGGCTTGTTTTGGTTTATAGCACATACGACTAATGCAAGTATACAGACAATTGATTTCTGAAAGTTGAGGTCACAGAAAGCTATTGACCTTCCAGTGATATTGTTAGGATTTTGCACCTACTCTGTAGCCTGGATATTTTATCAAATTAGGCATTGACTAGAATGTTTTTGCTTCTTCAGAGCAATGCAACTCTAAGTGTGTTCTGCAATATTCATAAGAAAGGAATCCTGCAGATACTCCCTGTACCTGCTCTCCACATGTCCACTCCTAAACACCTGACCTGTATCATCAAACTGTGTGATTCCCGAGCAAAAGTGTAGATGGTTCCCTTGAGCTTTATCTCACTTGGCTTCAACCCTCCCAATACTCCACTGGATGAAGTCTTCATTACTATCAGTTTCATTGCTGCTTAGACGTATGAGCCACGTGCAGTGTGTATAATACAAACAGACATGTAGACAGATATCAAAAATTCCATACTAGTTTCCAATAATCAAGAATTATGTTTATACAATCTAAACATTCTGGAATTTTGGTGTGGTACTGTAGGATAAGTACTAGACTGCTCACCACAAAGTTGGTGGTTCAAACCCACTAGCTGTTCCTCTGTGGGTTTGAACTAACTTCATGTCACTTAATAACAACAGCAACAACAACATTGTATATAGTTTATTGTAATTAGATTCACGTAATTCTAACTTTATGAGAGATCTAATTTACTGACTATATTATCTTCCAGTGGAAGATGTGAGGCCTTCAGATAGCCTGGGATCACATATCTCCACTTAGCTGTATGACTTTGGGCAAGTCACTATTCTGTAAATTTCCATTTCTTCTTTACTAAAATGAGGATATGAGATGTACTTTCTTCAGAGATAAAATGAAATAATTCTTATATAATAGTTTTTAAAACACCCGGCATATGGAAGCATTCACTAAATATGACTGTTTTTAGTACTTGTATAGAATTCTGGTGTGGCACTGTGGGTTAATGCACTGGACTGCAAAGTTGGTTTGAATCACAAGGTCAGCAGTTCAAGCTCACCAGACACTCCTTGGAAATCCTATCCTGGGTCCCTATGGATCGGAACCAACTTGGCGGCAAACAACAACAACGAAATATTTTATGCCATAGTTTGTTCGGATAAAAATCTGTACTAATTGATTTATATAGACTGCCTAAGATTTTTGAATAGAAAGTCACTATATATTGTTGTCATTGTTAAGTGCCTTTCAGTCAGTTCTTCCTCATAGTGACCCTGTATAAGGTTTCCAAAGAGCAGCTGATAAATTTGAACCTTCAATATGGTGATTCAAATCGACCTTGCAGTCCAGTGCTTATCCTACTGCACCACATCAGGACTCCTCCAATCACTAAATAACATACACAATAATTCCTTGGAATTTAAAAATTCAATATTTTCCTTCTTGGCACTGGCCAATAACCCAGGCATCTATGCTGTTGTTGCTGTTATACGCCATCTAGCTGGTTGCAATTTAAATCTTCGAGGGGGCAAAAAGCCTCATCTTTCACCCATGGAATGGCTGACACACTCGAACCTCAAACCTTGTGGTTTATAGTTCAGGGCTTTTTGTTGGGAGTCACTGTACTCAATCTATGCTAAGTTGTTGTCAAGTGCCATCAAGTTGGATCCAACTCATAAAAAACACTGAGGAGCAGCTGGTGCATTTGAACTGTCGACTTCAAAATAAGACTGTTGTTGTTAAGTGCCATTGAGTCAATTCCATATCATAGTGACCCTATATAGGGTTTACAAGGAACATCTGGTAGATTTCAACCGCAAACCTTGTGGTTTGCAGTCCAGTGTGTATCCTATAGTGCCACACCTATGGCATGAGGCAACTTACCAGTTTGCTAATATAAAAATCTGAAGCTGGTTAAATAGGCACAAGTTCCTTGGAGACTAAATAAGTCAAACCAAGTCCCTTGTTTCTGTTCTCAGCATGGATTGTAGACTAGTTTTCACATTTGTAATGACTCAGGAAATTAAACTCTATTGCATTTTTTTAATGGGAAGATGATATGTCAAAGAAATATTCACCATGTGGGAAGTCATGAAATTGTCAAGACATCAACTTCATAATACCTTTCTCCAATCATTTGATGAAGTTTTCACAAGGGCTCAGCTTAAGCATTTTGAGACACTTACTGCCTTGGTTCACTCACCTCCAGGGACTGCTTGCCATGAGACATTGAAGCCTCTCCCATGTATGGAGTTGTCAGTCTTAAACCGGATTGCTAGCTCATTTCCAGTGCTGGAGACCTGCATGGGGTTTTCAGCTGATCTTTGGACACATAGTTGGGCTATTCTGGGAGAATGAAAATCAGGACCCCCGTAGATCTAAGATGGAGTGTAGAAAAAAGGGCTCAAATTAAAGGATATATTTAAGCAATTACAACACTTCCCCTGACTCCTTTCTACAACCAACTCTTGAATTCTTTTATGATTAGAGATTACAATCTCAACTTCACAGGGTGGGGATGAGCTATAAACTTGAGTTGGATTTTTAAGGGCACTTCTCTGCTTTAGGAATACCCAAGTCAACCACCCAAGGAATTCCTGTTTGACTCATCAGTCTCTCTTTTCTGTCTTTGAGGGACTTCTTGCTTTCTTTAACAGAGACTATATAGGTAATACAGTATCAAGTTTGATCTCCTAATTCCTATAGCACATATGAAGGTGCAGTGGCTAAGCATATGGCCACTAAGTAAAAGGTCTAACTACAAGAACAGTGGTTTGAATCCACCATCTGCTCTGTGTGAGAATGATGTGGCAGGGTCAGTAAAGGTGGGAATTGACACAAAAGGTAATGGGTTTGGTTCTGGCTTATTGTTGTTTGTTGTTAAAAGTCAAGGTGGTTCCCATAGTGACTATGTATAGGATTTCTGAGGGACGACTGGTGAGCTTGCAGTTCAAACCGACTTTGCAGTCCGGAGCATTAACTCACAGTGCCACATTAAGACTCCATGTTGTTATTGTTTTGAAGTGCTGTAGAGTCGGTTCTGACCCATAGCGACTCTCTAGAGGATTTCCAAGGAGCGAATGGTGAGCTTGAACCACCAAACTTGCAGTTCAAACTGACTTTGCAGTCTAACATATTAACCCACAGCACCACACCAAGACTCCATGTTGTTGTTAAGTGCTGTTGAGTCGGTTCCAACTCATAGTGACCATGAGTAGGGTTTCCAAGGCTGTAAATCTTTACGGGAGCAGAAAGCCTCATCTTACTCCCACAGAGCAGCTGGCAGGTTTGAACTGCTCACCTTGCAGTTCGCAGCCTGATTCGTAACCACTACTCTACCAGAGCTCCTTAAGACTCCATAGCACATACAAATAATGCTAGCTGATAGCGTAATGGGTACGAATCAGGCTGCTAACCTCAAGGTCGGCAGTTCAAAAGTATCAGCTGATCCATGGGAGAATGATGAGGCTTTCTACTTCCATAAAGATTTGTAGACTTGGAAACCCTGTGCAGAGTCGCTATAAGTCGGAACCAACTCCACGGTACTTAACAACAACAATAAAGACACTTGATACCTAGAAGTTGAGGTCATGGAAGGCTATTGGTTTTCCAGTGATATTGTTAAGATTTTATAAAATTAGGCATTGACTAGAATGTTTTTGCTTCTTCAGAGTGTTCTGCAATATTCACAAGAAAGGAATCCTACAGATATTCCCCGTGGCTAGCCTCCACATGTCTGCTCCCTAAAACCTGACCAATATCATCAAACTGTGCAATTCCTGAGCAAAAGTATGGATGGTTCCTTCTAGATTTATCTCACTTGGCTTCAAATCTCCTTGTTGTTGTGAAGTGCCGTCAAGTCGAGTCAGTTCCAACCCATAGCAACCCTGTATAAAGTTTCTGAGGAGCAGCTGGTGAGCTGGAACCACCGACCTTGCAGTTCAAAAGGCTTTATGGTCTGGCGCATTAACCCACAGCGCCACACCAGGACTCCTCCAACTTCCTAGGCTTCCCGAAATTTGAAACTAACTGGATTTGAGACACACTCTTTCTCAGTGACACATTCCTCCATTTTAATAAGTGACCCATTGGTCACATTCATATGCATCATCCTGCAGGCAAGTTCAGTTCTGTTCAGCACAGGCCTCCAGGACACCTCACACACAGGTTTCACAATCTCCTCTGGGCTCTGCTTAGATTTTGTGTGTGTGTGTGCGTGTGTGTGTGTATGTGTAGGAGAAAGCACGTGTGTGGTGAGAGTTGAGGATAGTGTCCAGGTATACTGCTATGTGCACCCTTCCCATCCTGTCTCCCTTGCATATGGCAGGCCAGAACCAGGAAAAGCAGCTGTCAGTGAAAGTTGTGCCTAGTACCCAGCCTATCAGTGGCCCTCTCCAACCTCTAGGTCCCTGTCCCCTCATTCCTTATGCACCCTGGGCACTGGCCCATCCTCTGGCTTGCTGACCCATGTGGGAATCACTCAAGTGTTTCTGGGGGAGAGTTTGTGAGAATAAGAAGTCTACTTTGGGGGAGGAGTATGTGATTTGAATCTATAATGATTTCTTTGTCTGATGAATTCCCCCCCAGCCAGGAGGGAAAGGCCAAAATGAATGAAACTGCTGTTCCACAGAGGGGTGAGCACAAGGACTGTAATTGCAAAGGAATGAAGCAGGCTGACTGCTCCAGGCTTATTTTCATTAGGGAGGAACTGATGTTTGTGTGGCCTTCTAAGACTTGAGGAAGAGCCCTGTGTGGCCCTCTACACGTACACATAGGCAAATGGAGGAAAGAAACCTGCAAGGAGCCTTCCTCACTTCCTCTAGTTTCCTGCACTTCCACATTTCCAAGACTACCCCACCCCCTTGCCAAGGGAACAGCCCCCCCCCCTCCCCGGCTTAAATTGAACGCATGTGCTTCTAATCATTTGAGCCCAATATACAGCATATATTTGAAGAGAACATTTGGAGAGGGTTTTATTCTAACAATGAAAAGTAGCCTGTGGGCAAAATACTCTTTGTTTTCTCTGCTCCTGGGTCCCCCTTGAGATTATAAATGTAATGGGTACAAAGGAGTTGGCTGGGCCTAGAAACTTCCTGAAGAATAAATGTTGCCACTTTCAACATTCGCTTCTCCTTTTATGGGACAGCACTCACAAATAACCACTGGAGAGAGTCTAGACCGAGCTTAGTGCCCAAACCAAGCAATTGTCTTGGTTTATTGCACCAAGGAGTGGATTGATTTCCTTTTCTGCCTTATGTCTGTTCAGGTTGTTCTCTATAGAGCCTTCACAAAGACTGGAGCAAAACCAGCCACAGGGTTTCCATGACAAAAACAATTGAATGGTACTTTGAGCTTCCACAAATAAAACCAATCGTTACCACATGACTCTTAAAAAGAGGAAAAAAGATGGAAACAATTTCAGGGTGTGGTTCATTCGACTACAGCATATGACTAAAGTGTAGGAGAAAAACATGTAGTCTGATGAACAGAGATAAAAACCAAATCTGATTTGAGTGAATGCTCAGGGCAGAGAACATTTCAAGTCTATGGTTTTAATCTGTTTTGAACATTTCTTTCTGCTTGTTAGCTCCATTTATTGTTACAATCATGTCAGCATTCCAGGGCTATGAGTAAGGGAGCACCCTTGCTTTATGCAACTGGCCATTTACTGGACTCTGATTTTTCAGGGAACAAAACTCCAGGTTAAACTTGGTGAAACTCAAGGCAAGCCTAATTCATGATGACAATAAGGTTTAACCCAGATGCTCTCCACTGAAAATGAAAGAAAAAAATGTGCCAGTTTAGAATATGTGAGCCTAGAGAGTTAGCAGTGTTTCCAGTCCACATATCCATCACACTGCCTTTGAGTCAATTACAACTCATAGCAGCCCTGTAAAGGGTTTCCAAGGTGGTTAATCTTTACAGGAGCAAAAAATCTCATCTTTCTCCTGTGGAGCAGCTAATGGGTTTGAACTGTCAACCATGAAGTTAGCAGTCCAGTGCTTACCCTACTCACATATTCACCAAGGATGACAAATTTCAAAGCCTACTGCTAACACATTATCAGCCTCTAAGGTCTTAGAGATAGAGGTAAAAATCATTTTATCATTATCCGTCCAAATACCACAGCACTGTCCACTTGATTCGAACATTTGTAGAATCAAAGTAGTGGAAGCAGGACTTGTAAATAAAGATGAAGAGAATTGCTCCTTTGAGTTTGAAAAAATAACCTTCCCCAAATATTTTAAATATCTGCCCCACCCCCACCACACCCCAGCCCTGCTTTTGCTGGGACATGGGTGGAGCCAGTGCCTTGCCAGCTTGTCCTAATAAAGCCCTGAGCCCACTGTGGCCTCTCCCCTCCTTCAATTCTGTGCTGTCACAGGACCCTCCCTTAAACGCCACTGCCTGAAGTCCCTGGTTTTGTTCCTCTGTGCCAGAGGCTGCGTTCTGGGAACAGCCTCAATCTGTGTTTTCTCATGTAATGAATATGACAAAGCCCAAAAGCACAATGAATCCATTTACATTTTGCCAAGTGGGCAACAATCACAAGCACGTTGGAATATGAAAATGAAGAGTTCAGAACATGACACGTTGCTGGAGAAATTGTACTGCCAGCTCTTTCTAAGTGTTAAAGGGTTTTAGGCAACCAAGAAATATCCATGTGGGCAAGAGAGACCCTCTGAACATGTGAACGTCACTACTACTTCACACTGTGAGTGTGATTTTTGAGAAGCATCTTGTTCTGTCTTTTAAAAAAGCAGCTGTTTGTCCTCAGCTATGAGTTGGCAGATGCACGTCATGAAGACAGGGCTGGGTTTTGACCCAAGGATGTTATCGCTGTGTCTGACTTAATGGACTTCAGTGTTACCCTCCTGTAGAAAGACCTGAGTAATGAGGAGATGATGCAGAACTCCATTTTTTTCCAAGGAAATAGCATATTGTGTGATTTAATAAAGTTTTTAAGTGTTAAAGATTTCCATAAAATATATGCCACTCTTTTCAGTATCCCTCACACTGCATTTATCAGTGGTTTTGTGATGGAGAACATGGAGTATTGGAGTCCTAGTGTGGTGCTGTAGGATAAGCACTCGACTGCTTACCATGAGGTCGGTGGTTCAACCCCACTCCCACCCCCAGCTGCTCCTCAGAAACCCTATGAAGCATTGCTATGAGTCAGAACTGACTTGGTGGGACTTAACAACAGCAACAATTTTACAGAAGCAGATCACTAAGTTTTTCTCCCAAGGAGTGGCTGGGTAGCTTCAAACAGCCAACCTTTCAGTTCTCAGAAGGTTTTACTGGTATGTATCATTATAATGACTTTTGATGTTGTTGTTAAGTTCTGTTGAGTGGGTTCCATTCATAGGAACCCTGGATAGGGTTTCTGAGGAGTAACTGGTGGGTTTGGTCTGGCAATCTTGTGTTTCGCACTTCAGTGTTTAGCCAACAGTGCCACACTACTAGATTCCTACAATAAAAAGCTGATTATAATCACCTTTTGGTCTCAAGATTTTCAAAGGTCAGTTTCATTACGAGGTAAAAACCTTTGTAGGAATTTTCAAAAAGCTTTTTTTCAAGTGCTTCACACTATTTAACCTTTGAGAAAATAGTCATCTGTAGCAGATGCTTTTTGTGCTTATACTGAGTCAACCCACCTCAGATCTCAGCTACCCCTGTGTGTGGGGGTGGGGTGGGGGGTGGGGAGGGTGAAGCAGTTCCTATGTTTGCTGCCAGTGTTCCACCCCTATTCTCTGCATTCTGCTGTTCAAATACTTTTTTCTGCTGAGACTGGTGCAGCCTTTAACCAATGGGGATGGGAGTTAAGGGACCAATGCTATGGCAATAGGTCCTTTAAGAGGGACAATTCTCAAGAGCACTCTATGTGGGCTCTCAGAGAGTTCCAGCTGACCATAAAGATACCCTTAATTGGCTCTTCCTCTTTCACTCTTCCTCAGTTTTGCTTGCTGACATCACCACCTAAGATCATAACCCAGATGTCTGAGAACATGTTATTTATGAAAGGTTGTTATTGAATACTATGGACAGAATAGTGCTGGCTACTAGAAAATATTTGGAAATCTTTGCAGAGTGACTTTCAGTTCTACCCCAAATCTTAGGATACGCTTAAAAACAATCTAAATTCTTACCTCCAAGGAGTCATAGTTGCAGCTTGCATGATACTCCACATCAAAGTCATGGATGTTGAGCTGAATGCTACTTCCCGGGGCTGTGCTAATGTACCAGATACACTCCTTGTTGGGCGGGTACCTGTTAGGATACCCTGGGCTGCTGAAGGAGCCTGTTTCCCCAAAAAGCTCTCCGCCACAACCTGTTTAAAGGGCAAGACTCAGTCAGTTTCATGTAGGGATCAGCAATCGGAAAAAAAAACCTCAAATGATAAAAAAGATAATCAAGAATGTTGTTGTTAAGTGCCATAAAGTCAGTTTCAACTCACAGAGACTCTGTATAGGGTTTCTGAGGAGCAATTGGTGAGCTTGAACCACTGACTGACCTTACAGTTCAAACCAACTTTGCAGTCCAGTGCATTAGCCCACCGTACCACACCACGGCTCCAACAGTTAATTTTGGAGAAAAATCATAAAATTCTAATAAAGTAATAATTATATACTTATATAAAAAAAATCACAGCTACAGCTTTCTTAAAAAGCACCAATTATATCATTTGGTACAATAACTTTCAGTTATTATGCTAACTTTATCAAATCTCTGATAAATTCTTTTCACAATGTCATCATTTTTATATTTTCTTCATTATGTTTCAATAAGAATTACATGGTATGTGAGCAGTGTTGGACATGTTGACTCCAAGTCTCTGGGTCTTCAGTTTTCTAATCTATATAAAACTACAAGTTTGGGATAAATTATTCTAAACTCACTTCACATTAACAACTAGAATTCTAAGTGAGCTTTGTATGACTATGTGAAAGACAATAATAATAAGTCCTAACCAAAAACATGATTCGTGAGAGAAAAAAATATTGATAAGGTTTTGCTGTCAAGTGCTGCTGAGTCATTTTTAACTCATAGTGATCCTGTATAGGGTTTCTGAGAAGTGGCAGGTGGGTTTGAACTGCCAACCTTGCAGTTAGCAGTCTAGTGTGTATCTTACAGCACCATACCAGGACTCCCTTGATAAGTAGGACTTTATTAAAATTAAGAACTTCTGTTCTGTGAAAGACAAGGTTAAGAGAATGGAAAAAAAAAAAAAAGCAACAATGCTTGAAACTCAACAATATTTTTGTTTTTGTTAAGTGGCATTGAGTCAGTTCCAACCCATAGCTACCCCATATAGGGTTTCCAAGGAGTGGCTGGTGAGCTTGAACCACCAACCTTGCAGTCAAACCAACTTTGCAGTCCAGCACATTAACCCACAGCACCACACCAGGACTCCGAAAACTCAACAACAGGGAAACAAAAGACCTCATAAAAAAATGGGTAAAAGACACCAAAGAAGATATAATCACCCACTGCCACTGAGTTGATTTTGACTTACAGAACAGAGTAGAACAGCTCCTTAAGGTTTATTGAGACTGTAAATCTTTATGAGCGCAGACAGTCTCATTTCTATGGTGGAGAAGATATAGGAAAATCAAATAGTTAATGAAAAGATGTTCAACATCATATGCCTATGGGAACTACAAATTTAAATAACAAGGTAATACCAAAGCACACAATTTAGAATGACTAAAATCCCAAACCCTGACAACATAAAATGGTGGTTGGAATGTGGAACAATAGGAACTCAAATTCATTGGTGATGGAATGCAAAACAGTACAGTCATTTTGGAAGACAGTTTGACAGCTTTTTGCGAAGTTTAACATGAGATCCAACAATTGAATTCCTATTTATCCAAATGAGTCAAAAACCATGTCCCCCCTCCACAGAAAAAAACTGCTTACAAAAACCTGTTTATAACATCCATGTTCAAAAATTGGAAATTGTCAAGGTATATTTCATTAGATGGATGAATAAACAAACTATTTTTGGAGCATTGCCTAGCAATAAAAGAAATGAGCTATAAAGCCATGAAAAGACAAACAGAAGCCTTAAATGCATATTGCTAAGTTAAAGAAGCCAGTCTAAAAACAAAAAACAAACTAACTAAATCTATATGCCATGAAATTCCGAAGCATATATTCTAGAAAAGACAAAACTATACAAATAGTAAAAAGACCAGTGGTTTCTTGGGGTTAAAGTGGAAGGAATAAGTAAGTGGATGGTGGGACAATTTTCCTGTATTTCTTTTCTAGATGACGCTATAATAATGGAAATGGGGCATTATGTATTTGCCCAAATCCATAGACCTGCACCACACAGTGAATGCTAATGTTTCATGAACTTCTGTCAGTAATAATGTATATTGATATTTACTCAGTGCTAATGCGAGGTGTTAGTAATAAAAGAAATAGCATGCATGTGGGGATGCAGGAGCTCTCTGTAGGTTCTCTGTGCTTTTTCTGTGAGCTTAAAACTAGTTTAAAAAATAAATTCTTTTTGTTGTTGTTGTTTTAGAGTAAATTCTACATTTTGACCCAGGGAAACTTACATCTAATATTTAAAAAATGCAATGAATATATAAAATACAACCAAAGGAAAAATACCCATTCTGCTATCATTGAGTCAATTTCAAAAGAACAATATAACAGCATATATTTTAATTAATGTTTATCATGAGTTTATATCTTGAAAAGTAATAAAGGCAAATCATTACAACTGCAACATGTATTAACTATTTCAATACTCATAATAGCCATAAAAGGTTGTTTTTGTTAGGTGCCATCGAGTCGGTACCAACTCATAAAGACCCTAAGTACAACAGAAGGAAACACTACCCAGTCCTGGCCCAACCTCACAATTGTTGCCACACTTGAGCCCATTGATGCTGACACTTGGCCAATCCATCTCGCTGTGGGCCTTCCTCTTTTTCTCTGACCCTCTACCTTATCAAACATGGTATCCTTCTCCCGACAATATATCCGAAATATATCCGAAATATGAGAGATGAAGTTTGACCATCTTGGCCTCCAAGAAGCACTCTGGCTGTACTTCTTCCAACACAGATTTGTTTATTCTTTTGGCAGCCCATGGCACTTTCAATATTCTCCTCCAACACTGTTACCAGAATCGCTCTGAAAGAATTGCCAACACCACGCGGGTTGTAACGAAGAAAGGGCTTTATTGTGCCAGCACATGGCTCAGCGGATTCGTATCCAGAGGCTGAGCCCTGTCTTCCCTTTGTGAGGATATTTTATAGGGAATAGGGGTGCATATATGAGTTTATTTGGGATTGGTTAGTGGGGGCCAACAGCTTCATGGGGCTACCTGAGATTGGTTGGTTCAAACATGCGGCAGGGAAGGATGTATGAGCATACAAGCAAGCAGTTACAGAAGTGGAAGCAGATAAACATTAGCTCGGGGCTCTGTTCCCTCCCAGAGGTGAGTCAGGTGTGTCAGGAACAGGAGATTAACCTGGATAATCACATGAGGCGGAGGTGGTCTTTTGCTTATTTCCCAAAATGTGAACTTTGCTCCAGAAATGAGCTATGAGCCTGGAGGACATGGGGGCCAGTGTCTATTTCCGCAGGTCTGCCTGCCTCATTCCCCCCTTTGAGGCCCATGCAGCTAGACAGTGAACTAGTGGAAGGAGGCTATCAAAACACTGAAAAGCATAGTTGAAGTCAGGGTAGAAAAGAAAACTACTGCCCCCATACTCTGGCAATATACCCATCAGCACGTGCCAACTGACCTAATAAGTATCATCCAGGAAAATGAGGCCCACTAGTTCACTATCTGGCTGTGATAGTTTACATGGGAGAACATTAGCTTACATCAGAATCATTTTATTGCCATTTACTTTCTAGTTTTTAACCTCTGAGAACCAGAACAATTCTGTTATTTATTTTTCATCCTTTAATCTCTCTCTTAAATCCTTCTGTTTCAGTTCCACTCAAGTTGTCTGGGTACACATTTACAGTGTTTCTTGTCAATATTTCTAATGCCCTTGTCAGTGCAATCAACTCAGCTTTTTGAGCGGAGGTCCCCAGCAGGAGGGCTATTGCCTCTACCCGGTCTTGTAAGATTACTATTACACACCCTGCTATCCGAGTCCCTTTCCCCACGCAACCACTTCTGTCCACGAACAATGTCTAGTCCACTAAATACAGTTCAACTGGTCAGGTTGGCTGGAAAATACTTGGTCAATAATTTCTATACAATCATGGTTCAGTCCTGTAGTTGCCACACCAGGGAGGAGGATGGCAGGTTTAGTCGCCCCATAATTCACTGAGTAATATTTGGATTTTCCAGTAAAATAACCTGGCATTGCCTATCTGTCCTGTTGTGAGCCATAGGCTTCCCTTCTTTTGCAGCAGGGAGACAATCTGATGGGGACGGTGATGGGCTTGGCTAGAGTGAATTTCTCAGCCTCTTTTCTGAGAGTCAGCTTCCGGCTTCAGTCAGACCTTGACGGGGGATGTTTCTTGGCTCTCCCTGAAGTTCCACTAGCCCACATGAAGGGTTTATCTGACTGTCGATCTCCTCAGGCCAATGTGACTGGTTTCTGGAGTTTGAATCAATAATTGCCAGGCATGTTCACGGGGAAACTCCATCTGCTGACTTTTGGTTTCAGGAAGCTGTTTGAACATGCAACTTTGGAAGTAGGTGCTGGCCCAGTAAGGGGACAGGGCAGTTATTTTCTTTTCCCCAATGAAACAGTCTAAGAGTTTCAGGAAGAACTGGTCCTCAGGCTTCCCTGAGTTCTCAGTCACCATTAATGAACAGAATGATGGGAAATTCAGAGGCATGCTCACCACTGAATAAGTGGCCCCATTGTTCATTAAAAATCCAGTTTATTCCCCATTGTTATCTTCACCGCATTTCTGGGGGGTGGGGGCTGCAGCAATAGGGGTAGCAGAGGTTGATACCAAATCATGCTGGACTCACTTACCTGCTGGTCACTGTCAGTCTTCTGCAGACAATGAAGCTTGTTCAACCATCTGTTGAGTTGGAGGATGTTGGAGGATGGCTTTTTCTGCCAGGTCCTCCCCTGAGATTTGTACATTCATTTTTCCAGTGTCCAGGTTTTTTGCAATAAGCACATGGGTCCTTGCTTAAGGCCTCTTTTCTTTTAGGGGTCCTCCCTGGGGCCCCACAGGCTTTACCTCTAGTGGTCTTTAGGAAGACAGTAACGGCCTGAGACTTCTCATGTTCTCAGCTGTTAAATAGCTTGAAGGTGATCTTCACCAGCTGCCCTGTGGATTTTCTTTTTAATATGGATTTAATATGGATTCTTACCAAATGCCCTGTGG